TGCTGCTGTCTCGCCTGGCTACGGGAAGCCACTAAGGGCCAGCCCAGACCCCCAGCACATCGCAGCCAGAAGCTCCCTAACTCGGAACTGGAGTCCTGCAGAGCGGCCAAGCGAACACCAGCCAGGAGGGAACTTGTGGAATTGAGCTGGCTCTGCCACCTACAGCGCCGGGAGGAATGTGAAAGCAGATTTCGATAGCCCAGCTCCAAGCCCTTGCAAAAATCCCCTTTAAGCATCGCGAGCCCTCCCGGCACGGTGGTGTGCCATGGTTTAACGGATGCGCCTTGGCAGCCGGATCGGCCCCATCTCTGCAATTGCTGGAGGCAAGGGACTGGAGGGGAGTGGGCAAAGGGGGGAGCAAAGGAGACAGGGCATTATACACCCCCCTGCCTCGCATTCCCACCTCCCAGCCAGCAGCCGGTGGGAGCTTCTCCTGGGAGCTGTACTTATGGGATGCCTTTATCCCCACGGCTTCATCTCCAACAGCCTCCACTTTGCCAAAACAAAAGCAACTCTTTCATGGCCCAAATATCTAACAATTTCTCCTCTATTGAAGAGGGATAGGAAAATAAACGGGGCAATACAGAAATCATCTTCACCCTTAACATAACACACACATCCACATGTATGTATATAGAAATATATCCTATCCATAAGCTAAGATGGGGAACCTCACCAGCAGTACTCCCTGCTTTGCCAGGGAGTCTCCTGGGGCCTTCAGCCGCCCTGGGGCTGGGCTGGGGATGCAAACCCAAAATAACAGCAGAGCCGATCATTCCCCAGCATGTGCAGGATGGCACGAAAACAGGGGCAAGCGCCAGGCACGCACCCACCACTCTCAGACGGAGACCAGAGCCGATGCTGTGACTTGAGATGGGAAAGATGCCCCGAGGTGATGGGAAGGATGCCCCGAGGGGCACGGTGGCAGCAAGGAGAGGATGCAACGTGTGGTTCAGGTCTCCTTCCTCAACATCTAACCCACCACACCTTCACGCAAACCTGTTTCCAGCACCCATCACGAGGGACGCTGGGGTTTTTTTTGCAAGGCGGAAGACCCACAAGAACAAGCGCTGGTTTTGCAGGACGGCTCAGCCATGAATTCCAGCTGTCTCCTGCTTTCTTCGGGAGCAAAATGAAATCCCGAACTCACCAGCGCTGACATTCAACAACAGGCGAGCCAGGAGTTACTGAGCTGAGCGTTAATACCAGCCATAGCTCTACCCCCTCCTTGGATGCTCCACCGGGTCTCATCATCATTTCTGGCCCTGGTCCTATACGGATTTATACAGGTGTTGAGCCGAGCGTGGCAGGGAACACTCCATGTGCTGAAAACGCAGCCTGTGACCCAGAGCTGCAGCAAGAAGCCCTGTTTCTGCAAGCCACAGCAGCGCTGTGAGCAAAATGGTCTGCGGCCGGCTGTTTGGAACAATGCTGGTCTTTGGAGCACTGGCGTCATCGAAGTCCCCGCTTCACTGTGCCAGGGCAGGGTGGTGACAAAGCCACCGCTGCAGGAACATGGGGGGTCTTCAAACCTTCCTCCCCTGGGCTGTGCAGGCAGCAAATCCACCCTCCTTCTTCAGCTCGGAGGGGGGAAATAAGTCCTGGGAAAATTGCAGCTGGGCTGGAAACCCCCGAGGAAAATCAGTTTGGCTCCTCTGGTCCCTCTGGAATAGGCTGGGGAGGGAACTGTGGAGATCCTATGGAGCAGGACATGTCCCAGGGTTGGCAGGGAGAGGAGAGGGTTGAATTCCCGCCATGACTTGCTGTTGGTAATGGGGGAGAGCGGAGAGAGCAGAGGAAATCCCGATGGTCCCAAGGAGGATGAAGGGGTGGCAGGAAGGGGATGTCCCAGCCCCAACCTGGACCTACCCATGAAAAGAGAGAAACTTCCACTATTTTGGCTTCCAAGCCATCGAGGGCAGCACTGAGGGCAGCCTTCCCCCACCCCAGTCTGACGATCCAAACCTGGAGCCATTATTGCAAATATCCCTTCATCTTCTCCATCCAATATTCCCACACCAACCAAACATCTCAGATCCCTCTCCTGGGAGGCCGGCTGGGGGAGCCCAGCTACAGCTCTCGCTGCAAACCAAGCCTCCCTGCCAGAGCAGGGTCTTCTAAAACCCCATTTGCTAGAAGCTTTGCCCCCTTCGCAATGCAGGGGAAACACAAATCACAGGCACCCATGGGGACACAGGGCATGAACACCCCCCAGTCCTTGAGATTTTGTTACCCTGGAGATAGCAGAACCACTCCCAGGAGCGGTGCTGATAAGAGGGAGGTGTGGTGGAGGAGAAAGCCTGGGAGCGCTGCATTTCCCGAGCACCAGCACAGGCTGCAGGATGGACTCTTCCAGGTCCGGGTGAGCACCCCCTGTGGGGCATGGGGGTTTTGGGAACCTGAGGTCTCCATACCAACCCTCCTAAAACCCTCCTGTAGAAACGAAGGATGTTTTAAAAAAGAAAACTGACCACCTGGTGCCTTTTACCTTCGCATTGCAGTCCCCGAGGCCAGAAAGGTGGTGGATGCAACGCCGCGCCCTCGGCCAGCCCGAGCATCACTGCAGGGCAGAGGGGAGCCCGGCTCTTCGAGGCAGCCTCTAGCAGCATGCCTGACCCCAGCTCCCAGGCTCCGCTTCCCTGTCCAGCGGGAAGCCTGGCGGACGTGGCTCAGGGTGCAGATGCAGAGCCGGGTGGGTATCCCCGGGGATGAGGATGAAGGAAGAGAGAGCCGGAGGTTGCTCTCACCATCCAATGCGCCCCAGGTTATCGGCCCCGCTCCCCGAGCCGAGCAACATCCTCCCGCGGTGACGCAAGGCTGGCGGAGGAAGCCGGGACGTCACGGGAGGCCTGGGGCGTGGGAAGCGCGTGCACACGCATCCCCACGCCAGCCTGCCCACGGGGGGGAGGCCTGCGAGGAGAGGCCTCCGGCGCTCGGGGGGACACGCCAGTTTGGGGGAGCATGACCCCTAACCCCACGCTGCAG